CCTCTTTATCTTGATCAGCTGTCATTTTGCTTTTGGAACTTAGGATCTTATCTTTTACTGTTCCATAACCAAACTGTACACACATAACGATAGGAGGAAGAAGCTCTATTTTTAATAGGTAGGGAATCTGAACACCAGTTGATTAAAAAAAACCCAATACAATTTCACACATGTCAACTTATAGCTGTTTCTCTACATAGCAGCTAGGAAGCAAAGCTCCCTTTTTACTCTGAAGAAAAATCTGGATTGTTGTGTACTACTGAACAATATCACTAATACCACGTGCAAGAAAAATCCTGCTAAAGAGCATCCAAAAAATGACTGGAACAAAACATTCACAGAGAATTTACAGAAATATAAGGTGTGTTTATAGGAGGCTGTGGCACTAGGGGCATCATCTCAAATGTCAGATTGATCTTGGCTGAAAGCAGAGAGTACCAGAAAAATGGCAATCTGTGTTTCATTGACTATGCAAAGGAATTTGATTGTGAGGATCACAACAAATTATGGCTGACTCTGAGGATAATGAGAATCCCAGAACATTTGATTGTGCTTATGTGAAACTTATACTTGGATCAGGAAGCAGCCTTCAGAACACAGCAAGGTAACACTGCATGGTTCAAAATCAGGAAGGAGTGCATCAGGGATGTGTCCTGTCTCCATACCCATTCAATTTATATGCAGAACAGATCATTTATGAAGCTGGACTTTATGAGGAATAATTTAACATCAGGATTGCAGAAAGACTCATCAGCCACCCAATGTTATGCAGATGACCCAACTTGGCTTGATAAAACTGAGGAGAAATTGAAGTGTTTGCTGCGGAAGGTCAAGGACTGTAGTATTCAATATGGACTGAAGCGCAACATCAAAAAGACAATGATTCTCACCACTAGGCCAGTTGGCAACATCATGATAGATGAGAGAAGAGATTGAGATTGTTAACAATTTCAGCTTGCTTGGTTCCACAGTCAACATTCTTGGCACCAGCAGTCAGGAATACAAAAGACAAATTGCACTAGGAAAATCTGCTCTCAGAGTTCTCTTCAGAGTATTGAAGAGTAATGTCGTCAATCTAGAGACTAAGGTGCACCTGATCCAGGCCATGATCTTTACACTTACTTGAGACTTGGACAGTGTCCAAGCATGACAGAATTATTGACACCTTTGAATGCCGGGGCTGAAGAAGAGTATTGAACATACCATGGACTGCCAAGAGGACTAACAGGCCTGTTCTGGAGAGAGTGAAGCCAAGCTGTTCCTTGGAGGCAAGGATTTTGAGGCTCCGTCTCACATATTTTGGGCATGTAGCTACAAGAGACCAGTCCTGGAAGAAGGACATCCTGATTGGAAGGTTGGAGGCATGGCGCAGGAGAGGAAGACCTTGGATGAGATGGATTGACACACTATCTGGGGTAAAGGCAGTAGGTTTGTCAGATAGTGAGATTGGCCCAGGATACAGCATGGTTCAGAGCTATTGTGCTTAAGGTTGCTATGAGTGGTGGTCAACTCAACAGCACATAACAACAACAACTTTGGTGTTAAGGGTTTATTATTCAAAATGGCTTCCCTAGCCACTGATTGACTTTGTCATGTGGATGAGGAGGGATATATGGATAGGGCGTGTTATCCTATCCACAAGGGGATTAACTAGTTTCACCAAGGGACTGGCTAATCTCACCATGAAATGGACCAGATTCCAGCAGCACATTTTGGGAAGTTCACCACCAGCAAAGCAGCAGAGCGTGCAAAGTGCATGGTTAAAGATTCTTGTGCCACTCAAATTGGGATTTACTGCAGTAGAGATTGGGATTAACCTTTATCTCTCAGTTTGGGGTTTTCCAAATCAGAGAACCAGAGACCTAACATCAGACAAAGTTGACCTTGGAACTGCTACCCTCACAGTACCAGGGCTAAGAGCCCTCATCTAAGCTTGTTGGAAGACTGAGAAAGAGAGGCAGGACTAAGAGCTTTGTCACACTGGCCTAAAATGATGAGGCTAAAGGTTTAGGTGCCTGTGAGCACATTTCAGCAACTCTCTTGACTGATTTATTATATCCTGCTTTCAACATGATTTTGATTTCCCTAATAAACCTCGTAATTTTGAGTATGGTTCCATGTGGTCTGTGAGCTATTGCAACAGTTTTTGGACCCAATAAAGCACCAAGATTGGTTTTGGAATTAGTAGGAAAAGGTGTGGAAGTGTGAGAGACATATCTGATATGCTGGAAATTGGTTTTGTATTGTGGATATTGTTGATGGGGCTAGTTTCCTCCTATGGAGGTAGTAGAGGTCAGATATGGCCTTTCCCATGCTGCCCTTTCTCTTTTCACATGTACCAGAGTCTGAACCAACTCACAGCTGTCCCTCCATTGAGTTTTTAAGAGATTGTAAATCATGCCCATCTTTCTCCCAAAGAGCTACTGATTGATCGAAACTGTAGGCTGTGAATTGAAACATATTAATATCATATTAAGGGAAATCTTACTGTTTTGCCAATCAGATGATCTGAGGAACAAAACAAAGATGTGAATACTTTTATTGGTAGATGCACAACTATATCTAGTGCAAAATTAGCAAGACAACTATTGCTAATATAATAACTGCATTATTTTGAAACAAAATTCTGGAATTTAAAATCACTCTGTGTTGGAGGACTTCCTGTAGTCTCTGGAGAAGTAATCCATAGGGTGTTGGGTTGCTGACCCCAAAGCAGTGCCTCTTTAGCAGTGATAATCCACCAGCTATGTTGAGAAAGATAGAAAATCTCCTCTCATATAATATATAGCTTTTGAAAACCTCCTAGAGGATCAGCAATGAGTTAGGCTTGTTTTTGTTTTGCTTTTTTAACTTCAGTCTTGAAATGACTTGTGTTGATGTTAGAAATGTCTCCAAAGGGCAAATTGTTTCCTTGACAATAAAATGTTAATCTGGGTTTGATGCTAATAACCATGCTGCTTTTTCTTTTAAGTAATTTGGTTGAATTTCCTTCCAATGTCACCTTAGGCCACACAGAAAATAAAGAGGGTTTTGTTTTCATGTGATTGTTCACCATGATTGGTTATTACCATTCCTGCATTTGATGTTTCAGGTCTGTCCTCTGTCAATTCAATTCATCTAGTAAATATTAAACACGAACCACATGCTTTGAGGAACCTCTAGTGACAGTGTGAGAGAGTTGCACTGCCAACCCAAAGGCTTGTGGTTCAGATCTACCTTCTGCTGTCTTTGAAAACCAACTGGAGAGTCAGCAATGGGTCAGTTCCAACTCTGCAGTCCACAACAACATGTGCTTTGAAATAGTGGAAAATTCAGTCCATTTCCTTCACCCCGGGCCACAAAATTGATTCTCTTCAAATGTTTGTGGAGCTGAACTACATCTTAGCTGCCGTGGGGATCCCGTTTTCATGGTCATTTTGCCAATAATCTCATCAAATCAGTTTTTCAGGTGGCACCTTCCATTCACTTTTGGCAAGGTTCATTTGGCAGGGGAATCTTACAATAAGTTATGGTCACCATAGCATAAAAACAAGAGATGACATGTCGATATGGTAGCTTGCTCTGAAAGAGCACTGCGTATGATTACTTAGGTGTATGTCTTTCCTCTTGTTGTCCTAATAGATTATGCACTTTTTGAGGGGCATCTCCAGGCTGGGCTTTTCCCCCTTAATTTTTAAGGTGCACATAAGACTTGGGAGGCAAGAGCCCTAGCTGTCCCCCTTTGGCAAGCCAGATGATCTTTCTATCTCAGATCCTAGACCACTAAACCAAAGGAGCAGAATTGACCCAGTATATTTTATTTTTAACTATGCACGTTATCAGACCGGGACCACTCCTTAGAAAGAGAAATCAGCAGAGGAAATCACAACAAAATGGATTCACACAGTTATTCCAACAGTGGATTTAAGCACAGTGGAGACTGAGCATCATGAAGAATTAGACAAAGTTTCTATCCTACATTAGCTTTCTCTGGGTCACAGTTGACTCTAGGACATTTGCCTATGTTATGTGTCCTTGACTCAGAATTCACTCATAGTTGACCCTTAAATCCCATGGGAAACGGTTGCCCATTTTTCTTCCACGGAGCAGCTGATGGATTCGAACCACGTGTTTCTGGCTTGGCAGCCCAACTCTCTTCCCACTAAGCCACCAGAGATCCCTAACAATAACAGTGTTGCTATTGTTGTGTACTGTCAAGTTGGAACCAACCTGTAGCTGATGCTCCAGCAGGTTTTCAGAGGCAGTAAATCATATGGAAGTTGACTGCCCATCTTGCTCCCATGGAGCAGCTGGTGGATTTGAACTGTGCACTTTTTACATTGGCAGCTCCTTACCACTAATCTACCAGAACTCTCTCAACACCACCACCACGACATTAGATTATAGTAAAAAAAAATGTAGTCATTCAAGAGAAGGGGTTCATTTTGATATTCCAAACCTCCATCAATGTGCAGTAACCTTGGTGAAACTATATTTCAAACACTTGGCTAACTAAAAGGTCAGTGGTTTGAACTCACTGCTGGAGAGACTAGGCATCTGCTTCTGTAAAGATTTTCAGACTTGGAAAGCCCATGATATAGTTCTGCTCTGGCTTACAGAGTCACCATGAGTTAGAATCAACTGGACAAGAGTGATTTTGGTTTTAGTTTTGCTTTTCATTAGCACAGAGAAAATATAGGGCATCCCTTCAAAGGAAAAACATGGTACAAACTGAAAATGTGTGGTGAGGCAGAGTCATATGTTGGTAAAGATTGACCAATCCTGATCCTGTTATTCAACAGTTTCATGCGACTTTCAGTTTGGAAGTATTATATTTTAACTTATCCACAGTAATAGCTTTTCAGCTTGCTGGAAGGTACTTCCCATAATATGTAAGTTATTTCTTGGTAGAGCGCTTTGACACACTACTTTGGGAATGAAAAATATTTCAGAAGAGAAACTGTGTTCTATCCTTCAATCCATGGAGCATAACAATAAGTCTCTGTATTCTTCTTTTTCAGCCCCTCTGACTGATAAGCCACCCAAGCTTCTGTATCCTGTGGAAAGTAAACTGACAATTCAGGAGACCCAGCTGGGTGAGTAATTCCTTAATTCTAGTTAATGCACTTTTCTCAATATAATTCTTCCATTTAATCAGCCTAGATAAAAACCCAGCATAATACTCTGAGCAAAGCACTTGTGTATATAATGAAAGCATCATTTGAAATTACCAAGAACCATTGTCGATTCCACCCCAGCAGCAGATGTTTTAGAACCAAACTGGGCATATGCACGTATATGTGCGACTTAGACGGTTGATGAGAAAGGAGATGGGCTGATGCTTTTAGCAGTGGCCTTACTCTCTTACCAATCCTTACTCCATTTTAAAACAGCAAAATGGAACTATTTATAGTATCCATTCATACATGAAAATGCAATTTCAGAAAGTCAAAAGGATAAAAAGCTATTATAATGAATCATCATTACAGTTTAAAAGTGTTTCATCTAACCTGATATAATGAGTAGTATGCTACCTATGTTGTGGGCAACACATTAATAAAATGTAGCTGTCTTTTGGTTGAGGGACTGAGAAGTTTGAGGACAAGGAACCAGAGACAAAACATACTTCCTTAAAAAACTCAGTTGTCCACAAATCTGTGGTCTAGTATAATTATTTTAGAGACGTCTAGAGTTTCTGAACCTGATTTAACTAGATTAATTTGTACCAAATTATGGAGGATTGCCTTCTTTGTTACAAATGTATACGGTGCATTTCATTCCATTTTAAGGTTTATTTCATTTCACATATAGTGTGCATGCATACTTTATACCAACGACTCAAAACAACTTGTTTTCCAAGTTTATCATAAGTATTATTTAAGTATGTTATGATCATGTTTATGAAAGAATTCTTTTATTTACCATTTGAGAATGAGACTGTGTCTACTTTATTCAACCAAAATAGAATAAGTACCCTATAACCTAAATTTCTATTGTTATTAGTATATTACCTCGAGTAAGAATTTGGGTCAAAATTGTAAATACAATTTCCAAATAAAGCTTACAGATGTAAATAACATAAAAATAAAATTAAAATACAAAAAGATGGTCTGATGGTTTGGGGAACCTATACAATTGTTGTAGTCTATATGGATTGGTACCACAGAAAATATTTCTATTTCCTGAAGTTGAAGCATGACCATATGCAGGATGCGCTGATGATAAATTTAAGCCTTTTTAATTAATGTCATAGACAGACATGAGTTACTATAAATGTCATTATTGTGAGATGGAGGACTTCTCAAGTATTATTGATGTAATTCTGTGTACAAAACAAATGCTAAAATGATATCAAGCTGTTTACTTGTGCTGTGGTACATAGCAAGGTATATTATCTTTTACTGCTACTTTCTAAAGGACTCGTGAAATATAAATTCAAGTAAGTGACCATTCTTGTGTCGACGTTTCAATAACTTCTAGTCCTATGTGTTTCTAAGTAGTTATGCAAAACTATAAACATCTTGAGCCAGAGAAGAGGGAGTTTATGATACCCGTTATCTGCAGTGAACACAGGGAACATGAAATTAATTGTATCTCTTTATTTGACAATATAATTACAAGAATTTTATGATTTATGATTGCCCATTGGCTAACTTTTTCATTGTCCCTGAATTAGGAATAAAGCAGTTTGTTTTCTACCTTCTATTAGTGCTTTCTTCAAAGTGGAATAATTTGTGGTGTTTTTCTAAAGAAACTTTACTTTTCTAAAGAAATAGTACTATTTTTGAACAAAATTGTAGAGACTTACTTAAACCGAGTGTCTATTATGAGAATTTCCTATGCAAATTGAAAGGCTTGACTGTATATTTATTTGTAGAAATTCGAATCTGTATGAAAATACGCCAGGAAAATTTGAGGGCTATCTGGCTGCGACATCTGTCAACCCATTGATCGCCAGGGTTGATTCAGCTGATCTGGCTGGCTAGGCGAGTGCCCCCTTCTTCTCTCATCATTTCATGTGCGAGTGCGAGTTGAAGGGGAAGACCATTCCCCAATAGGAGGAGGACTGTTCTTTGGTCAAGAGTACACAAGTAGCTGTGCTCCCCTGCTGTAAACTCCAAACAAGCTCTCAAAATGCCCCAGGAAATACTCAACTTCTTTACTATCAATCCCAAAAGGAAGAGGAATTCCATTTACCTACTCAGTAAACTAGAGACATCCAACTGGGCTTTAAATCCTTTTAAACAATGACTAAGAAGGATAGAAGGAGAATTGATGCCTTTGAGTGTGGTGCTGGAGAAGAGTAGTGAGAATACCGTGGACTGCTAGGAAAACAAACAGATTCATCCTGGAAAGGATTAAACCAGGTGGCTCCTTAGACGCAAGGATACTGATGCTCCATTGAACATACTTTGGACATGCTGTAAAGAGAGACCAATCCTTGGAGAAGGACATCATGCTTGGGAGGGTGGAGGGATGGTGCAGGAGGGGAAGGCCCTCTATGAGGTGGATTGATTCTGTGATTTGGGATAAGAGTGTCAGAGAAAGTGCAATTGGCACAGGACAGAGCAGAGTTTAAGGCTGTTGCACATGAGGTCGCTATGAGTCGCAAGCGATTCGACGGCACATAACAACAACAACAAGAATTTATTTTTTTAAATTTTCCTGATTGCAGTTCTCATAGGAGAGGATAACTCATTGACTGGCTAAAGAAATGCAACCTTCATCCTTGAGCTATAGAACAGTTGATTTGAAAGAACCACCATGCTAGTGTTGTTTGTGCAGTTAGAAGAGGTTAGCTTATCAAAAAGGGGGACATAAAAATAGAAATGACTTGAAGTCAATATAAATAACCAAGCTTATGCCTAAACTAGACTTCCTAACTGTAATATATACATAAGGGAGCTCTGGTGGGGTAGTGATAAGGAGCTTCGCTGCCAGCCCAAAGGTACAGAATTCAAATCTACCAATTGCTCAGTGGGAGAAATGCAGGCAGTCTCCTCACCCCCATCCCACCCCTGTGAGATTTACAGCTTCTGAAAACCTACTGGAGGGTCAGTTATGACTTGGTTCCAAGCTGTCAGCAAACAATAGCAATATTTAAGGAGCCTTGGTGGTACAATGTATAATGTACTGTTAAGCAAAAGGTTCATGGCTCCTTTGTTTTCTGTGTCTATCTTTTCTACAACATCTTATTTTTGTTATGTGCCATCGAGTCGGAACCGAACTTACCCATAGCTGACCCTCCAGCGAGTTTTCAGAGGCATTAAAATGCACAGGAAGAGAATGCCCATCCTTCTCCTGTGGAGCAACTGGTGGATTGGAACTGTGTGCCTTTAGGAATATAGTGGGGTTTCTTAACACTAGGCCACCAGAGCTCCTTACAGTACTTGGTGTGTCTCGTTACCAGGTTTGCGTCTCCATGTTCGAGTGTCTCCTCGTGTTTTTGGCAGTCCTTAGTAGAGTAAGGAACCCTGGTGGTGACTGCATAATGTATCAGGCTATTAATCAGGGGCTCAGCAGTTTAACTCCATCAGCCACTCCAAGGGAGAGAGATGAGCAGTCTCCTGCCTGATGGAGAGTCCAAAGAGACTTGATTAAAAAAAAAAAGGGGGGGGGACTTTATTGCAGGTTTGGTTTGACTATATTCTTTATTTTTATTTCATGTGAAATTTAATGCTTGTATACTTTCCAAGTTGAAAATTATTGTCAATTTCAATAGGCTCAAAAGGTGCGAGCAAATCTTAAGAGGAGACTGAGTGGGGAGTTAGCGAGTGCGGATTGATTGGCACAAAGCCGAGGTGCCTGGGTCTGTGGTGGGGATATTGTAAGTGATGCCTGTTCTTATGAGTCAGGAGCCCATTGGTGTTGTGTTGGGCTGGCTGTTAACTGAAAGTTCGGCTGTTCAAACCCACCAGCTGCTCCAGGAAAGAAAGATAAAATTGTCTATTTCCATAAAATTTACAACTTTAGACTCTACTTGGCAATTATACTCTTTCTTAACATAGTTTCTATGATCCACGGTTGATTCAACAGCAGTGGGGGTTTTTTGTTTTGTTTTTTTAAAAAAAATTCTTATCATTTTGTGTGTGTGTGTATCATCAAATCAGATCTAACTGGCACAGGAGGAGATTGTCCCTCCTTCTCCAGTGGAGCATCTGGTGGATTCAAACTGTGTACTTCTGGGATTGCAGTGCAGCTTCTTACCACTAGGCCACCAGAGCTCCCCAACAGGAGGTTTTGAGTTTGGTACCTCTGGTGGCCTACTGGCAAGAAGCTGCACTGTAATCCCAAAGGCACACAAGTTTGAATCCACCATCAGCTGCTCTGCAGGAGAAAGATGGGCCCTCTCCTCCCATGCAGTTAACTGCCTCTGAAAACCCACTGGAGGATCAGCTATGGGTCAGTTTCAACTTGATGGTACACAGCAACAATAACGCTTAAGAGTAGGTTAGATTCTCCGACAGTTTCATTAGCTAAGACTTCAGGATTCTGACTTAGTTGATTTCAAAAGTTAATAAAAGAAATGTGTGAGTTATAGGAAAACTCAGGAGGAATTATGCAAGACTAACTTGGATACGCAGCCTAAGTTACAACCACTTCCAAGTAACTCAGGTAGCAGTAAATCCAACATTGCTCTAGTTCATTCACAAAAGCAGCAAGTTTATAAATAAACTTAGAGAAGACCACGGAGTGTCATTTGCTGCCCAGACCTCTCATTCCGTATCTACCTTCGTGTGCCCTGTGTCCTCCTACTCTTCCAATTCCTTCATTTTTCTCTCTAAACTGTTTTATTACAAGGAAAAGGGGTAGAGGAACCCTAACAACCCAAAAAGCACAACACAGTATTTTAGGAAAAAAATTACATACAATATGTAAGTTGGTAAATTAGAATTTCCATCAATATGGAGTCACAGCCTAGCATTTTTACTTTAATTAACTCCTGTGTGCTATTTCTAAAGGCCAAAATAAAGAACGAACTTTGTTCTAAGTAGCATTCAAACAGTGGCAAATATATGGAAAATATTTTATTGGGCACAAAGCCTAGGAGCAGCCATGCTGTACTTTTTTTTTTTCATTTTACTAGTTAATTTGC